GCGACTATGGAGAAAGGGCCAGATGTGTTGCGGGCAGGGTTAGCCAGGGGCCTGAGGAGGGTCTGTGAGGATTGCTGTAACAAAGTACCACAGACCGAGTGGCTTATAAACAACAAAGTATTTGGCACAGTTGTGGAGGCTGCAAGTCCAAAGTGAGGGCAGCAGTCGGGTTCTGTGGGGGCCCCCTTCCCAGTTACAGATGACAAATTTGTTCATCCTCAGATGGTGGAAAAAGGGAGACCAACTCTCTGACCTCTTCTTATAAGGGCACTAATCCCATTCATGAAGGCTCTACCCGCATGACCCAATTACCCCCCCAAAGGCCCAACCCCCTAATACCATCACAATGGGGATTCGATTTCAACATACGAATTTTGGAGGGACACAAAACTTCGGTCCATAACAGAGGGCTACAGATGATGGGAAATTTTCTTGAGGAGAGATGTTTTAATTATCTATGCATGACAAACCACTGCAAAACTTGAAAGCTTAAAGCAAAATTTAGGATTTCTCTTGGTTCTGTGGGTTGATGGGGACAGTTGGGAGGCTCTCGTTTGAGGTCTTATACAGTTGGGGCTGGAGTTGTCTGAAGGCTCAACTCCAAAATGAGTTCTTTACTCACATGTCTGGTGCTTCAGCTGGCTTGGCAGGAGCATGGGAGCTGGCCGGGCATCTCTTCTCTCCCCACCCAGCCTTGCACGGGGCTACCTTGGCTTTTCTTCGTGTGGTGGGCTCAGAGTAGTGGGACTTCTTACAGAAACATCATTTCCAAAAGACCCAGGCCAAGCTGTAAGGCTTCTTTTGACCTAGTCTCAGGGGACATGCAGCATCTCTGTTACATTCAGTTGGCTTACAATTACTACTCTAACCATAGTGTAGGCACTCCATGAAAATTCTGAATTACTATTTTAGAAGTCCAAATGCAGCTTTTCATCAACAACACAAAAAACAATAGTTATATAGCATTTACTGTGTGCCAACAACCCTATGAGGTAGGTCATTTCCTCTTTTTTGTAGGTAAAGAAACTGAGGCACAAAAAAGGTAAAGTGATCTGCCAGCGACCACAGAGCTAGTAATCAGTGAAGTCTTAATTCAAACCCAGGCAAGCTGGCTCAGGTTTCCTGAAGAAGGAGAAAACCCATTTTAGTGTTTCCGGCACTGGGGTCTGAAACTGCAAATTAATATATTCCCCATGACAGGTGACCTGAGGGTTGCAACAGACATTTTGCTGTATTCTTTTCTCCTGGGTAACTGATGCCTCTTCACTGAAATTGTAAGAAACGAGCAGAAGCCTGTGGCACAAAGACCCAGGTCCTATTCGTAACTATCTCCCTGGTCTTGGCCCTTGCCCCCTTCTGGAAACCTGAAATCGACATCCCTGCCTTCTACATAGCCCAAGCATTTCCGTAAGCAAACACCCCAACCATATGCACTGAGGACACACATTTATTTTGAAATGCCTGTGCAACCAGCTTCATATGATGTCTTCTCTTGCTGGGGCCTGGTTACAGGAACGTGTCATGCTGCTGGGGGCAGCACTGGTCCCTGGCTCGATTGGCCACTGCCCACTGGCATCTTACTCTGCAGCCTGCATGACTTCCCCAAGATGCCTCGGTGGCCACACATTTCCTTAAATCCTCTGGAGACTATAGCCTGGCACCTCCAAGGTCCTCTCACCCCTGAGTCAGGCGTAATCCTTTTTAGAAATTTCTGCATTTCCACTGAGGAATGTGCTCTAACCAAATTTGATGTTAGCAAGGGAAGAACAGTGTAGCTGGACCTGGAACATTCTAGTCCTGGCTTGATAATGACCTTGGACAAGTTGCATGCCTTCATATCAGAGAACAAGAGTTCCCAAGCCTTTTCTTGGCAAAGATCCCTTTGCCCTCAATGAACCATCATCCATGACTCTGCACTCACTTAATTATAACTTGGTTTCTCCATTTTATTAATCAAACAAAATTAACCCCCACTTAAGCTTCTGTTAAGTATAAGCTGATCATGGCTACTGTCTCCGCTGATTAAATTCTAGCCAATGGAAACATTTTCCTTAGCTCGGGCGACCTTATCTTAGGTAAGCATATGGATTCCTCTCAGCTTTTGGAATTTTGAAAATTGTGTAGACTCCATTAACTACTACTCCTGGCTGTGTTGACCATACCCAGGACTCAAAGACTAAGTCCAAGTTTTGTGCCTCCATCACTTACCTTAAATACAGAGTGATGGTATCTATCCTTGTTGGGCCCTCTTTGTCCTTACAAGACCCACGAGATGGCCCTTCCCTTGGGCACAAATTCTGTCAAGGGACTGCCCACCCAAATCTCCCCTTGGCTTTCAGGGCCTTGCTAACATCCATCTCCTACCAACACCATCAACATGTGCCATCTATTCTGATGGACTCCTTGAAGGTTTACTTTCATATTAACCACACTGGGACAACCAAGGAGCTGATGGAGAGTGTGAGGGGGAGTTAGTCTTCAGCTCACATAAAATCCAGAGAAGTTGACTTAACATAAAGATTCTCAGTGGATTAAAGGATCGAACAACCCCAAGATGGCAGGATGGACCTGCCACATATTTACCACCCCCCCTCCACTGAAATCTGGCCCCCTTCCAACTCCTCTTGCTCTCCCTCCATCCTGCAACTGCCTACCAGACTGCAACAGAGAAGGGCTTTGTCCCCAACCTCATGCTCAGAAATACTATTGTTACAAATAGCTCAGCTCTGGCTGCCATCTGCTGAGTTGCTGGGGAACACGATAATGCCCAGCACACTTAGGGTGGAGCTAGGGAAAGATTAACAGGGGTGAAAGTGTAGCCAGCTCGGGGAAGGGATCGAAACACCAGCTCCAAGTGAGCCAGAAAACTCCAGATCCACTCAGGCCAGACTCAGAACTGCAGGTCCCTGAGCCTCCTCTCCCTTTCACACACTAGGTGTGGCAGATTCTATTACTGCACTCCATCCTATACAACACATTCCTGCCTGCCACCACGTGACTTGCACTATTTCCTGTGAGAATACACTACCCCCACCCGCCACTGGCACTTGGCACGGGATTTACTTCAGTCAGTGGATATATGCATATATATATGCCAATGTGTTTTGCCAGCTCTTCTTTCCTTCCCTCTCTAAGAATGGCATGTTCCAGATAGGGCGTGCCCTACAGTGGGGATCCCGAGATGAGAAGATAGAAGCAGCAGGTCGTGGCCAATGCCAGCAACCAGTGGTGTGCGATGTGCATGAAAAGAAAACATAGCTGATGTCACCCGAGATTTGAGAGTTATTCTTGCAGCATAATCTGGCAGAAGCTAATGTGCTAGGAGTCACAAACTCCACGCTATGGGCAAGCAAAGCAAATGAGTGAGGCACAGTGTGTAAGGCCATGGGGATGGTGGGGCTGTGGCAGGTGGGAGAGAATCTGCCTAAGGTTAGCCTCCATCATTAAACTGTGTTATGAGTTAAAATAAAAAATGCTATTTGGTTAAACATCAAGAGGCCAAGATTTTAATAACACAGCTGACTGATACTTACTCCTGAAAATTTAGACTATTAAGAAACATGTAGTTAAAAACAAAAAGCATAATGACCCAGCTTTTTGTTTTTCATAATCATTTTAACATTTTAGAGATCTTTTAGGCACCAATTTCTAGTTGAAAAGAAACAATCTTCTGAAATTTAGCAATTATTCACATTTCAGTTGTGATTTTTGTTTTAAAGGGAAATTTTATTTTAAAAATTCCTTAAGAAATTCTTTGACTCAGCTTCCCCAACATCAATATAAACTTCTACAAAACCAATCTAATCATACCACAAAAATAACCACCATCTGTCTTAAAGAAAGTGACTCCTATATGAATGGGGATTAGCAAGGGCATATAGATTGATTCCATAGACTATTTAATTGATTTTATTGTAACTGATTATCAGGTCTGAGACCAGGAAAGTGGAAATAATGGTCTTATAGAGAATCACACATTAAAATAGTTCTAATTGGGGGCACCTGGATGGCTCAGTCAGTTAAGCATCCAACTCTTGATTTCAGCTCAGGTCATGATCTCAGGGTCGTGGGATCCAGCCCTGAGTCAGGCTCTGAGCTCAGCGGGGAGTCCATGCTTAAGATTTTCTCTCTTCTCCCTCTGCCCTCCACCCCTCTCAAATACATATATCTTTAGAAAAATAAAATAGGTCTAATTGAAATTAAGTATTTCTTTTTTTTTTTTTTAAGATTTTATTTATTTGACAGAGAGAGAGAGACAGAGAGAGAGGGAACACAAGCAGGGGGAGTGGGAGAGGGAGAAGCAGGCTCCCCGCTGAGCAGGGAGCCCGATGCGGAGCTCGATCCCAGGACCCTGGGATCGTGACCTGAGCCGAAGGCAGTCGCTTAACCAACTGAGCCACCCAGGCACCCCTGAAATTAAGTATTTCTTATAGAATTATAAATATTTGAGTGTTACTAGAGCTAACTACGTATTTTCAAGTTTATATTTTCTGCCAATGGCTTTGATCTTTTGCCAACCTGTCCTCCAGAAAAAAGGAATCACTTGTCCCATATCGGCCACAATGGGAAATTGCACAACCCCAGGAATATGGGGCAAGGAGTTTTCCTCTTTGACCTACCGGTAGGTCAGAGGTGACCTCCATCACCACTCCTATGAAGAAATGTGCTTATACATGACATGGAATTCAGTTATGATCTTCGACCACACATTAAGGCTTTCCTTTTGATGTGAAACTAGTAACAATAGCAGCAGCATGTTTTTTCCCTCTTTATTCTCAAATTGACAGTTAATGAGAACACACATGGAACAGATCCATAATGACAGTCATAATATCCTGGCCATTGGGTTCTCTCTTTTCTTTTTTGTCTTCAGAGTCCTTTCCAAAAGCAAACATGCTGCCTGGCATTCTATATATTATTCCCAATTTTCAAGTGGAAAAATGAGACAGATGTAGTGATGTAAAAACACTGGGAATTATATTTTTAAAAACAAGACAAAAATTCAGATCTTCTTGTTTTAATTCTTCTCCATATTACCACGGTAAGATATTTATCAAAGTCCAAGAGATTACTGATATGCAGTAATGACCAATAACTTTACACTAATGGAGCTATCAAACAATAAACTCATCAATGAAGTAACCGGAGAAAAGTTCAAATGTAAAGGGTGATTCACTATTTTCTTTATACAGTATTGAAACAACCATAACACTCAAACATCAGAAAGTCCTATGTAATATTAGACAGTAATTCATAACTGTGAAATGCTGTAACATCTTGAAGTACCTTCTGAATGACCAAAACGGATGAAATTTTGCTCAGTATAACTTCAGTTTTTTTACACAGAACTATATATTTTTAAAAACTGGTAACCCATGTAAGATATACACAAAACCTTTACCTGACTATTCTGTTCAATGACTAGAACTCCACATTGCTTTGTTGTTATGGACTGATGAGCTTATAATCCAATGAAATCCTTTTAACACATTCTAGTTTTTAGAACGGCATGTTCAAATAATTTTATCCTATTAGCTTTATTAACAAAAATCTCCCATTTCCTTTATAAGACATTTAATTCCTCTTACTATCACCTTTAAAGGGCCTGACTTGATTTTTGTCTAAATAACTCACAAGTGTAACCTTCCAGTCCCCAGTCCATGGGCACTTCATGAGTCTCAGTTCAGTGTAAGTCAACACAGTGACCTTCCCATGAGTTTTCCATTAGCGATTTTAAAGTAATTTTAATATTATCCACAGAGTATCCTGTCTTTCTCTAGGCTTTTGTCAAATTAATAATGGCATGTGGTATTCCTCAGCATAACCTGCCAAAATGTGATAATTTCCTTGGAAGAAAAGCCATGAGCTGCAATCACACGTCTGAGTTGACAGACATCCAAATGGATCCTATATAAAAAGAAAAGGTTTGTGTCTTCTGGAATATGGATGTCCACTTTTAATAAATTCAAACAGATTCCAACATAAACATCTTCAAACTTGATGGGTTTTACGTGACTCATCATTTCATAGATTCTTGGCACCAAATCTCTGGACATTATATAACCCAACCCACTGCAGTAGGGAGGAAACACCTTGAAGGGATACTCTTGGTATGAAATATGGGCTTTCTGGTAAAATCCTCTATAGGAATAGTTATCGATTAGAGGATAACCTGTGAAAAACTTCTCTGAGTGGTTTACATTTAAAAGGTACTTCACTAAGTTGCCAGTATTGATGAAAACATCAGTGTCTGTCTTCATGATGTACTTGGCATTGGGGCAAAACTCAGTTACCCACCTGAATGCCATAATTGTTTTCAAGGTCAGATTATTATACGTGTCTAAAAAATCCTGTCGTATTATGTCACCGTAAAGAAGGTGTTCATCCTCTAAGGACAATGCTAACATTTTGTCTTCCTTTTCGACCTGTTGGCCTAGTAAGAAAAATGTAAGAACCTCATATCCCCACCAAGACTTTTTTTCACCCCAAGTAACTCTAATGGCCTGTCTGGCTTTCACGTCTGAAGGGTGTGAGGTCACCAGGATGACAAGAAATGGGTTTTGATGAGAGCAGTTTGAATGCTCTCGAAGTGTGAAGTGAAAGTCTTGTCTGTAAATTGGCTCATACTCATAGAAGTACATCCAGTTTACACGTTCTATCACATTGTAGTGGGGCAGGCTGAGGTACCACATCACAAGGAAACTCAGGAGGGACAGCAGCAGGAGGCTCCATTTGAGGGATCTCAGTGACATTCTGCTCGGAAGGGTGGTCAAGAGAGCCAGGGCCATCCACAGCAGCTCCAAAGCACGCGAGCCTCAGGTTCTGGAAGATTTATCAAAGACCTGGTTAGTACTCCACCACCCAAGACACATCATTAAATGATATCTGATTATCTCCTTGTTTTTTTTTTAAATAATTTTTTATTGTTATGTTAATCACCATACATTACATCATTAGTTTTTGATGTAGTGTTCCGTGATTCATTGTTTGTGCATAACACCCATGATTTCTCCTTGTTTTAAAGTGAAAGAGTCGGGACAATAAAAGCTCCCAAGCAAAACCAAGAATCCTGACCCGAGCCTCCTTAATTTCATTTAACTATAAGCAAATGGATACCAACAACCAAGAGTGCATTTTAGCTTTTTACACCAAGATCAAGGTTAAAAACATATCCTTCATTACTTTGGGAAAAATAATACTTTTTGTTTGATTTAAATAACTGTTGAAATTCGATTCTGTCCTGGATATCCAGAGGGACAAAGAGAGATGAGTAATGGGGGTTAAAAAATAAACCTGCAATGAAAACCAAAACAAAACCCAAAACAAAAAGCTGCATTTTTTCTTCACCGGTATGGAAAAGACGTAAAGAAATTAATGCAAGGAGATATTACCAGCGACATGTCCCAATAAACCAAGGGTCTTTCTCAGTTGTGTGATCTGATGTGGATTCTAACAAATTTGGAATAAGGAAAACCCAGTAGCTACAGTTATTCACGTCAGATGTGAGGAAAGCAGAGACTGTTCACCTGAGAGGCAAGTCCTCTAGACAGAAACAGGATAACCAATGCTCAGGACTGTGAAAGAGCTTTTACTTGCCCAAAACACATCGCAGCTCCCCTTTCACCTCACTGGCTGAACTCAGTGTTCAGTCTGGATAGCAAGCGCTTAAATTAAAGGCCTGTCCCTAGTATGGAGTGTTCATGTGTTTCCCATTCTAATCTATTCAGAAACCCCACGCCAGATCAGAATCACGGGAGGGAACCTCCAAGAACACGTGATTTTACACAGACCCCCCGCTGAGACGGGAACAGAGGTAGGGGACACAGAGCACTTGGCCCGCAGTGACAGTGTGGCCTCAGCTCTGTGCTGGATCCCGAGGATGAGGCTGGCGTACAGTTCAGGATCCCGCAGGGCTTTCCCGGTACCATGATCTAAAGACAAACACAAACACAAACACAGTGTTTCCTAGATCCTCCCATCCACAGACTACACCAAGTACTAAGAAGACCAGAGGAAGGAGACGGGAGAAGAAGGCAATCCCAAGGCAATGGGGAAACAGGGCAGGCTGTTTATATCAAACGCTAAGGGACTTCAGAAGGAGGACAGATCAAAAACCTGGGGGGCAGGCTGAGGAGGCCCTGATGGTGCCCTTTCACCCACAGTCATCTGGGGGGAGGACTCTGGGAAGCCAGAATTTGTTAGGGGGGGGCGTACATTAATGTCTATATGGGAAGGCTGGCCTCCCAAAGCTTCTACTTTGGGTCAGTCTTAGGTCTCCGGACACACAGCTCTTCTGCCTCTTCATACTAGGAAGCTGACAGGGTCTCAGGACCCCTGGTCCTCTCTGTCTGGCCATATCTTACCTGCTCTGACTAGTCTGGTCACGGTAATCTTTCCTTTCTCTAGTGCTTTCTATACTTTAAGTCACACAATACAGTGGATGTATTTCATGTATGTGTCTTGCCTCTCCATTTATATTCTATGACCTTGGTGGCAAAGTTGTTCTCACAACTGTCAAAGTGCAACACAGAGAAAGACCTACAGCAGGAGTGCAATGAACATAGACTTGTCTGTTATGCTATTTCTAGTTGTATAAGGATAAAAGGTAGGTCTGTCTATCCCATTCCATCCTTCTGCCTCCCCCTTACTAGCCTTACATAGCCAGCTCCTGGAAAAACCTGAAACAGAAGAGACCTAGAGAAAGGATTAGAGAAGTAATTAAGCTCTTCTTACATTTTCTCCTCATCTGGCTCCAGGACACCGCACAACCTTAGGGCGTTCAATTTATACCTCGGCCAACGACAGCTTGTACATTACACCAGTTTTACATCTCATTCTAACAAATAAGCACATTATAATAAATTTCGGACAAAAAGAAAGAAAGTATCTTGTGTGAGGAGCAGCCTTTATAACTGCATAGAGGCAACGAAGGCCCCCGTTACTCTTCGATAATGGGAAGAACTCAAAACAGCAAATCTGATTACAGAAGTGATCTTACATGCATTCTAGAAGCCATGGTTTCTAAAAGTGAAAATGTGCCTGTGGTCGTGAGGTCTACTGCTTGTGGGCCCACAAAGAAAATAAAGCAGCAGCAAGGAGAAGAAGAACTCTCTAGTCCAAAAAAGGGGAAAGATCTTTTCGAGGACTGGCCGGACAGACTTTAGATTACCCACAACGCAGGCGGCTCTAAAGGCAGAGATCGCAGTCCCCACCCCACCTCTGACCTTCAACAAACAGGGCGAGCAGGTATGTTCTTTATCTTTTGGAGCCTCAGTTTCCACATCTCTGCCCTGAAGATGTCAGGACAGCGTAAACGGGGGATAACGTGAACAAAACACACAGCTGGCCTAAGTGTGCAGTAAATAGGGTCTGTCATCACCAGCTGTGTTCCGCCCTGGGCAGCTATTCTTTCCTGTTTGTGTTCTCTAAATTGATTTTTATTGTCAAAGGAGTTATCCTAAAAAAAAAAAAAAATAATCATCATCTTTATGAAATATTATTACTTAAAGGAAAATAGGTTTCAAAGCCATAAATATATTTCTATTTCTTACCTGCTTCTTGATTTATTTCTTCTGAGTGAAAGACCTTCAATTTCACCAACTGGACATTCAGTAGTATGCAGCAAAAATAATCCTTGAAATTTCTATAAGACAGAGAAGAAACTTAACAGCATTTACCTAGGGGTCAGGGGATCAGAGGTCATAAAAAGTTAAAAAAGTTACCACTAGCCCATAGAATTCAGAGAGTCCATGGCTTCATCATGGAAAAAGAGCACCCGGCGTTCAAGGCTTAAAACATACATCTAAGTTCTCACGTTGTTCTCACGTCACCTGGTGTCTTCGGTCACCCTACCAGTTTCACTTCCCTGAGTAAGAACTCAGTGGTCACTCAAATAAGCGAAACACAAAACTTCTAAGAGACACTGTGCTGATATCCTCTCTTTCATCCCGGGTTCCACACCTGCATTCACAGCAGGTAACCCCGGCATGAGACTGCCGACTACCACTTCCCAACCCCCCCTTCCCCTTTGAGCACATACCCCGGGCACACTGATAGACTGTGAAAAGAGAAACAGTGAGGCATATCTCACTTCCTGCCATGATTCACTATGTTCCTGTCTTGGTCTTTACTAGGCAAGCTTGAAAACCAGAGCAGGACATGAAAAACAGGGAGGCACTGACATATATCCCTCCTTATTCAAAAAAAGTTTCCAATGGATTAAAGACTCAAGTGGGAAAAAAATGAACCTTTCAAAGCACTAAAAGAAAATATGGATGAATATTTTAATAGTTTTGAAGTGGGGAAGACCTTTCAATTACTCAACTGTAAGGAAATAATATAATTTCAAAAATTTCTTGAACAAGATTGAAAAGCAAAAAAATAAAAACAGAAAACTGGAGAAACAAAACAACAATAAAAAGCACAAACAAGGTTGAAAGATAAAAAACAAACTGGGAAAAAAAACACCTGACATTTTATGACAAAGATTTGTAAACCCAATAAAAAAAAGACTTCATACAAATTAAGAACAAGAGGAATACTACAAGAGAATTAATGCCCAAAAGAGAAATTCTCAAGAGAACTACAAATGATCAATTAAATGAGAAAAGATACTCAAACCCACAAGTAAGCAGAAATATTGACAAAAACCGCAAACCAACAAATTCAAGGAAAAAAACATGACAGTACTCAGTATGTGTGAGGGGAAAAGGCATTCTCATGCACTCTGGAGGTAAATTTGAAAACAAGTATCAAAATTTTAAACATGCACACCCTTTGACCAAGCAATACCACTGCTAGCAATTTATCCTAAAGAAATAAGCAGGCAACTGTAATTTAAAATATGAAAAAATTTGATTTAAATGCCTCCCAATAGAGAACTGGTTAAACAAAACTATGACACATCCATACAAGAGCATATACTTATTCATTATATGCAATGAAACTATATTACCTATATTCCCTTGATATATTACTAAATGAAAAATGCAGTTGCAAAACTGCTTATGTGCTATGAGTCCTTTTGAAAAATGAAAAGATAATTATCTACAAACCCAGAGAGTCACATTTGCTGAGCAAGATTTCTAGAAAGATGTGTCCCAGTATGTCAATGGTTTCTATTCTGTGGGATTTCTGGAAGATTTCTTCTTTCTTTCATTTTTCTTTTTGTATCATTTGGATTTTCCACGCTATTCATGTATTGTCTTTGTAAATATACAAAAACAAAGCCAAAAAATGTAATTTTACGCTTGCATATCTCAAAGTTCCACTGAGTGGTAGCAACCCTAAGCTAGCAGTCAGGATTCTGAGTTTCATCTTATCCTAGTTCTTCTCCCAAAGTGTGACTACGTACAATTCATGATATTTCTAGTAGGTATTATATTCTCTTATTTGAGTGAATATTATCTCAACATAGTAAGGAATGATTTTAAAAATCCACTCAAAATATAGTAATTCTAATATAAATCTAACAGGATTTACATTAGCTAATAATAATAGTACTTTATATATATATGTATATATACACACAGATAAATATAAAAATTTATGAAGTGTTCACAACAAATATTATTAGTTTTCCCCCAATAATGCTATATAGTGGGCCAGCTGGTTTTACTGTACCTATCTTATAGATGAATTTTAGAGATTTCAAGTGAATTGAAGATGAAATAAAGACACTTTCAAACAGACTAGGACTTATAAAGTCTACAAACTCTAGCTCAAAGTACCAAAGGAATATATATTTTAGTATGTAGAAAAATGAACTCAGGAGGAAGGAATGGCATGAAAGAAACAAATGGGAGCAGGGAGATAATTAAAAGATAGTAAAAACTAATACAGATAGTAAAACAAAAAGAGAGAGGGAGAAGAAGAAGAAAAAAAATTATTCTTTTTAATGAGGTCAGAAAAAGTGAAACTAAAATACCATATAAAAATGACGTGGTTGCTGTAAAAAAAGATTTTCACAAAATAAAATATGTTAATATTCTTACCTAATTCAGAAGGAACAAGGAGAGAGTGATAAACTTTAAGACTGTGCAAAAAATTCATTTAAGAATATACATTAACCTTTAGAAGGACCACTGAATTAGTAGGTACGGATTATATATCTTCCATACTGACTGAGAAATAAAAGAAACAAAGCAAGCTATCAAATCAATAGGGGGTAGGACAAGAGAAAAAAAGCAGAGAAAATGCATGGCAAATAGAAAACACAAAAGATGTCAGAAGTAAATATAAATGGAAGCCCCTGGGTGGCTTAGTCAGTTGGGCATCTGACTCTTGGTTTTGGCTCAGGTCCTCATCTCAAGGTCATGAGATGAAGCCCTGCATCAGGCTCTGCCCTGGGTATGGATCCTGCTTGAGATTCTCTCTCCCTCTCCCTCTGCCCCTACCCCCAACCCTGCTCTAAAAAAAATAAAATAAAAAGTTTTAAAAAATAAAAAAAGAAGTAAATATAAATGTATTGTCAGAGTAAATATAAACTCACCTACTAAAAGACAAGAGATTCTCAAATTGGCTTAAAATTCTGCCATTATACTGCTTATAAGACACATACCTAAAACAAAACAACACAAAAGTTTTAAAATTAGTAAATAAGAAAACATATCAGGAAAATGCCAATCAGAAGGCTGCTGCAATTAAATACTAATGTCACATATTTTAAATGAACAGCATTCAAAAAAGACAAGAAGATTTTGCTACTAATAAAAGCAGCCATCAAATAAGAAAATTTAACAATCATGAAGCTATATAAACATAACATAGCCTCAAAAAAATATAAAGCAAACTGTGAAAAGTATGAGTACAAGTGGAAAAATCTATAATCCTAATGGAAGGTTTTTAACAAATCCCCCTAAATAACTAATACATCAGCAGGCCAAAAATAAGGATATGCGTGTTTCAAATAATATTAACAAATTTGGTTTAATAGAATAGTAATAGTCATTTCAAAATCACATGAAACATTTATTAAAAAATTGATGTTAGGTTATATAAGCCATTTCAAGAATTTTTAAAACTCAATTTAACAGGAGTGCCTGGCTAGCTCAGTTGATAGAGCATGCAACTGGATCTCAGGGTTGGGAGTTCAAGACCCACACTGGGTGTAGAGACTACTTAAAGAAAAAAAACAAAAAACAAAAACAAACCTCAATTTAACAGAGGCCAAATTATTTGACCACAATATAATTATAACAAAAACATAACTTGAAAAACACATAAACAAAAAAAACTTGTTTGGAAACTCAACATCCTTACACACACAATTTCTGTTTAATCCATAAATTTAAAGAGATACCATACTGGAAAGTGTACAATATGTGCAACTGAATAAGATCAATTTGCTACATTTCAGTGAGGTACTATTACATCAACCCCTTAACTGAAAACCGTTGGTTTGGGGCAGGGAAGACAAGCTTTTATTTTTTTCTGCTTTAAAGAATGATCTATAGTTCAGGGGAGACAAATAGCTCTAATTGAAGAGAGAAAACTCCTCTTTATAGAAAAATGCCAATTTTAAATGTAGGTAGAATGACAGAATAAGAAAACTATAATTTTGCAACTTCTCATGAAATTATGGATTCAGGCAATGATTATTAATCAGTGTTTTAATCATCAAGGGGAAGATTAATAAGGAGTTGGATATCTGTGTGGTATCAAAGTAACACCACAAAGTAACCTTTTACTCACAAGGAACTGAAGCAATATAAACTTTACATTGGAGGAATCAGAGTGCTAATTATCAATGTGAGCATTATAAATGGAAGAACAAACACATACTGTTTCCGTCCTAAGGAGATGATACAGTGTGAAATGACAATATTATCTCTGATGAATCCTAGCCAAAAATGTTAACTGGAATTTAATCAAAATTTACACAAAATACAGAGAATAGAAGAACAAGCTAAGGAACACCACAAGTAACATTCAAAGAAAGCCAAGAGCTAGGATTGTCAGCTAGCATGGTGTCTTTAGCTAGTTAGTACCATGAGAAAAGGGAAAGCTGTAGATTAAAAGAGATTTAAGGACACACAAATTGCAATGTATGGTCCTGGACTGGATCCTGGAGAGATCTGAATACAGCCTAAGTATTAGGTGATGCCAGGAGGATTATTAATCTATTTAGGTGTGATAATGTTAACAGGCTATAACAGGCTATTAACTGGGTAAATAAATGTGGTATAGCTACACAATAGAATACTATTCAGCTACAAAAAGAAACAAAGTACTGACACAGGCTGTAACATACCAGTTTTCAAGAATTCAGAACATGGGGGCGCCTGGGTGGCTCAGTCGGTTGAGTGTCTGACTCTTGATTTCGGCTCTGGTCACGATCTCGGGATTGTGGGATTAAGCCCTGTGTTGGGCTCCATGCTCAGCATGGAGTCTGATTGGGATTCTCTCTCCCTCTGCCTCTGCCCCTCCCCCTGCTTATGTTCTCTCTCTCTTTCAAAATAAATAAATACAATCTTAAAAAAAAAAAAAAAAAGAACTCAGAACATGGATGAACCTAAAAAAACATTAAGCTAAGTAAAAGAAGCCCGAAACAAAAAACCATATATATGCGACTTTATTAATGGGAAATATCCAGAAAAGGCAAGTCTATAGACAGTAGGTTAGTGGTTCCCTGGGGGTGGAATAAGCAACTGGCTGCAAATGGAGATAAAGAATCATTTTGGGGTAATGGAAATATTTTAAAATTTGATTGGGTGATGGTTGCAGATCTCTGTAAATTTAGTAAAAATAACTGAATTACAATTAAAATGAAATAATTTTATGGTAAGTCATACCTTAATAAGGCTCTTAAAAATAAAATTTAAAAAATTTTCCTATTTCTAGGAGTATGTATTTAGGAGTAGAAAGTCAAGATACCTGTATTTCCTTTAAAATATTCCAGTAATAAAAACTAAAAAGAGTTAAGAAAACAAATTCCCTCTCTCATTCATTTACAGTGGAACAGGAAATGGTAACAGCTCTCTGGAGGGCAATTTGGACATACTTATACAAATTACAAATACTTTACTCTTTTCTCAGTAATTTTGATCCTGGAAATTATTTTAGGCACAGCCGTATATGTCTAAAATGATAAGACATTTTATTGTTATTAGCTACAACATTATAATAGCAAACGATTAGAAATAACCCAAGGGATCAATAAGGGATTACTTACATAAACAATGATACATCCACACAATGGAATACTATACAGATGTTTAAAAAAAGAACAAAGATGTTTTCTATGTACTGACCATGAAAGATTTTTAGAATACATCAAGTGGAGAAGGAAGATCTAGAACAATGTTTATAATGTGCTAACTTTTGTGTTAAAAGGAAGAGAAAAGGGGCACCTGGGTGGCTCAGTCTGTTAAGCATCTGACTCTGGATTTTGGCTCAGGTCATGATTTCAGGGTTGTGAGATCAAGCCCCACATCGGGATTCTTGCTCCGCGGGAAGTCTGCCTGAGATTCTCTCCCCCTCCCTCTCCCTCTGGGGCCCCTGCTCTCTCTCAAATAAATAAATAAATGTAAAAAAAAAAAAAGAGAGAGAAAAAATATGTGTATTTGTGAGTGTATGAGAAAAACAATGGAAAGACACATACAATGGGTAGGGAGGAATGGGGTAGATCAGAAAAGGGGTGAGAGCATCCCTTTTTTTTAAAAGATTTTATTTATTTATTTGACAGAGAGAGAGACAGCTAGAGAGGGAACACAAGGAGGGCGAGTGGGAGGAGAAGCGGACTCCCCAGTGAGCAAGGAGGCCAATGCAGGGCTTCATCACAGGACCCTGGGATCATGACCTGAGCCAAAAACAGACACTTAACTGACCGAGCCACCCAGGCTCCCCGAGAGCATCCCTTTCTTATATTAGTTGATATTTCTTTGTTATATTACTTAAATAACATTACTTGGTTATATTACTTTGTAAGTTATATAGTTCTTACATTGATTCTCAAATCACCTGAATACATTAAAATTCAAAACAATGAAAATAAAAATTTTTCCCTCCCCATTTTAAAGTGGTACATATAAAAACACACTGGATGTAACTAATGCAGTCCTTACAGAAAACTCATAACCTTTTAAAACAATACACATTTTTAAAAGTAGAATTATCTTATATACATTTTTTGTATCCACTTGATTTTTTTAAACGGGTGTATAATTTACATACAATAAAATTCACCCTTTTTATTTTACTGTTCTGAACATGTAACCACCAGCACAATCAAGATATGAATCAATTCCATCACAACAAAAATTCTACTGTCCCTTAATCAATCATTCCCTGAACCTCCAGGCAACCACTGATCTGTTTTTCATCCCTATAGCTTTGCCAAACCAGAATATGTCACATAAATAGAATGATACAGTATGCAGACTTTCAAGCATAATGAATATTTTTTTAAAAAAAGATTGAAAATAAATGAGCTGACTACTTAGCTCAGTAAGTTAAAACAATAATTCCAATGTTATTACAGAAACAAGAAAACAGAAGGCATAACAAAGATAACGCAGAAAACAATGAAAAACAAAACAAAAGAAAAAAGGAAGATTATTTAAAAAACACACATTAGGAATAAGAAGGGAAGTACCTAACCTGTTAGAGAAACCGTAGCAAACTTACGATGAAACTTTAGAAATATTTCTATTAAAGTTAGTAAAAAGACAAGGATGCCCATTATTGCCTCTACCATCCAGTGTTGCTTTAGAGAGTGTTACTGCCACTAAAACAAGAAGAGGAAATAAGATGTAAAAACTGTTAAGGAAGAGAAGAAAACCTGCCATGATTTTCTACAGAGAAAACTCAAAGGGAAAAAGACAACAGGTAAGAACAGGTTTACCAAGATGTTGGATATGAGCTCACATATATATCCAAAACATTAAAAAAACCAAAAATCTAAGGAAAAACACAGCACCAACAAAAACTACAGAGTGTCAAATAAAGCTAACAAAAAATGTGCAGGACCCTGATGTGGAAAGGTAAAAATCTTTTCTGAAGAATTAAAAAAAAAAAAGTGAATAAACAAGAGACACATATTCAGGGATAAGAAAACTCAAAAGTAAAGATTCCACTTTCCCAAATTAATCAATAAATTCATAGGATTATGAAAGGAATTTAATGATCTAGGAATAACCAACACAATTTTGAACACAAAGAATGAAGCTGGGCGTGGGTTGGGTGTTATCAAATCGTACTGAAGAGCTACTGTGATTAAAACAGAGTAGCAGAAAGATTAAATAGCTGAATAGTGCCAAGACTGGAGGCAGATCCACACATACACTGGGACCTGAAAAATGGCAGAAGCTGCATCACAAACTAATGGCGAAAAGATCCAATAAATGGTTTCGGAATAAATGTGGCAAAAGTAAAACCATGTTCATATTTATTTTCAAAATAAAATTCAGGTGGATATGAGAATTTTAAAAAGCAAAAACTAAAACTATTATAGAAAAATATAGCAGAATATATCTGAACCTATGTGTCGGCAAAGCCTTTGTAAACAAGTTACAAAAAGCATATCCCATAAAAAAGAGAAATACATTGGGTAA